GTGTGATGGTGCTGTGTGTGTGTGTGTGTGTGTGTGTGTGAGGGTGCTGTGTGTGTGTTTGTGTGTAAGTGTGCTGTGTGTGAGAGAGGGTGCTGTTAGTGTGCTGTATGTGAGAGGGTGCTGTTAGTGTGCAGTGTGTGTGTGTGTGTGAGGGTGCTGTGTGTGTGTGTGTGTGTGTGTGAGGGTGCTGTTAGTGTGCTGTGTGTGTAAGGGTGCTGTGTGTGAGGGTGCTGTGTGTGTGAATTTGTTTGGAGTGATTGTGTGTGGGGGTGGATGGGACAGATTAGGAAATAGCCCCCCTCCCTTGTTACCTTTTTCCTTGGAGGGGGATCCTTGCTGCCATCCCTGGTGGTCCTAGTGGTGGGTGAACTCTAGCCTGCAGGTTCCTCGCAAGAGGAACCCGGCAGAGCTGCTGGCTAGAGCACCCCGGGTCCTCTCCAGCCTCCATCCCTGCCTGTGGGCCGGTGAGGGAGATCTTTGGGAGATCTCCAACTACCATGACCACGGCTGTAGTTTGAAACACTGCTCATACTGAGATATTTGTAATCGTGTGCTGGGGTTAGTTGCACCACCAGCACATGTGACATTTGCAGCCCAGAACTCTTTTCCAGGGTGCCTAACGTAAATTATGTGCATAAATTACTTCTGTTATCAGCACACTCTGCAAGCTAACAACAGACATGATAATCTTCCCCTTGCAGAAAAAGAGCTCCTTCCCACCTCCTTGCATTGCACATTGTTTTAAAAAAAAAAAAAAAACCTCCTTCAATCCTCCCCACCCTCTACCTTCCTCCTTCACTTCGCTGGTCTGGAGCACACAGAAGCGCAATGAGCCGGCAAAATAGTCCAATCACAGTGTAAGGAAACCTTGTATATCCTACTCCCATTCGGTAGTTTCCTCCCGAACGGCCAGAGTATCAGTGATTATAACTCGCCACTCAGTTAAATAAAGTAAGCGAATTCCCATACGAAATAACAGCTTCCCAAGTAGATTCTCCTAGTAAAGCAGACAGGTACCCAAACATCAGCCGAAGTCTAGATGAAGTGTGTAACATCATACAGCCAATCATAAACAGAGAAACACTTAAACACTCCCAGTACAAACATATAATCTTCTCCTCTCTACCTAGAGATAATTGAGGCTGATAAAGTAACTTAATTATCTTCAGGCAGAAAAATCACAGTTTTACCCAACTTTTAAAACGCACCCCAAAACATAAGGTATCCCCACAAAAGTCATATCCCCTAATAGCCCTCATCTGGGTGACCAACAAATCCAAAAATCACCCAGATCACTTCAGGGGTTTTCAAATGTTATGGTCTTTTTAAGTCTTAGGTTGACGGCTATCCACGAGGCTCATGCCCAAAACAGTTCCACAAATTTTGGTGGTTTTGCCGGTCCAGTTCGAAAAGTCTCAAAAACCGAATAAATCCTCAAACGGTTACCCCTGGCTCCTAGCAGCGATTGTTCCCCTCATACGAATGAACAAAAGTACCGAATAGCGTTCTCCTAGCGGTTCGGGAAACGAAGATCCAGCGTTCGTACGTTGAGTTTGGGAAGTCGAGTGTCCGATTTTAGTTCCAGACACTTGACGACCCAGTCCCGCTGCCTTTGTTTGCGCAAACAAGATGGCGGCCGTTTTCTCAGCCACGTGGCGTTCAACCACACAAACGGCGGCAGCACAGGAAGAGGGCTTAAATGATGGTTCGCTTTGAAGTTAATGAGCCAGGGAGGTGGTTTCTGTTCAGTAGTTACAGCTACTGAACGAAATAACATAAAATAGCCGAAATAACTTTGTGATTTCTTCACACACAGGTTTCTCATAGAGAAGCCAGTGAATGAGCCGCGGGCTGCCCCAGTGACATCGGTGGAGGGCACTGAAGAGCAGCACCGGGAGCCTGGCCAGACACTGAATTACCATTTTGTTAGGTTTTACTGCAAATTGAGAGTGGGGACCTTCTCCACAGTGCCCAATAGGACATTTTACACCGTACGGTACCCCCTCTCAAAAGGGTTAAAGTAACCCTTTAAAGTTAGTTTGCAGTTCTGTTATGCTCATTCAGTCATGTGCTCAATACTGTAATAACAGTATTACTTGTACTGCTGACACACCTATACCTCTCATGTATTCCTTATCCAGTCTCTCCCATCCCACATGAACTGAGACGTCACGAGTTACCAAGCAAGATACAGTCTGTATCGGGTATGTTACATCTCTTTGTACAAGAGACTGAGGGTGATCAGCTGTTATGGATTTTTAAAACCTTATACTCAAGCAGGATCTCTATACAGAGAATGTTGTGCTTGTCATGTAAGTATTATGTCAGGTTTAAACTGGCTTTTCAAGTCAATTACAATGTCTCATTTAAACTGGCTCTACAAGTCAAATTTTCCTTGTAATACCATTCTGATTAGTAAAATATTTTTGGTCTAAGAACACTATTTGATTTTTCTTTCCAAGTGAACTTTCTTCCATAGACAAACCATCTGTCATATACAGTCACATACATTTTGACAAATCTTAGCCTACAAGACATATATGTGTTACCCAACCCTGCCCTGTGTCTAGAGTGAGTTCCACTAAAATTAGGTACATACTATTTGTGTATCAAATATAAAAGTATAAATATATATTCATATATATATTGTGGTGTGGTGTGCACTATATCGTGAAATAAAAGTAAAAGACATGAAGACATGACAGAAACACACACAGGCTTGACAAAGGCCCTCAGTTGTTTTTTGTTTCTTGGGTCCAATAAAATTGCCTATCTTTTGGAACATTTTGGAATGCCCAGATTACTTTCTACATTCAAGAAACACACATATCTCATACCTGAGAAGTCGTTCAACTGTAGGAAGGTTAGGAAGGGTTTTTTGCCAATTTGTAAGTGGATCTTCAACAGAGATAATTTTCAACCTACTTCGTAAAGTTGCAAGACTTGGCAAATGGTGGCCATATTTTGTAAGGTTGTCATCAAATACTAAATCATCAGGGATAAAGTAGTCTAAAAGTGCAGATAGAACGGCATTATTGTATCAAATTACAGTGATTTCACAATCGCAAAATTACTTTCTAATTTTTTTGAAATATTTAGCATAAAAATTTAAAAACAATTCAGATTAACTCTTGTCAAGGAACAGCATGACAGAAATGTGGTAGAAAGAAGATCTATTACTACAAGGTGCATGTATCTTTATTGCTTATGTCATTTGCTGGCCTCTGCATTAGTGACCAAGAGCAGGAGTTAACACTGGAAAAATATCTATGGCATCAGTTTAGCTTTACATTTACATTTTTACATTTTTATAATACATATTTCTCTTATTTCTTCTTCATGTTTGGTGGCTCACCATGATGTTAATAAGCATTTATAGGTTAATTGTCCTGTGTGCCAGGTACAGACATCAGTATGCATCAGACTTACATTTTCTGTAGGTTTATGGATGGATATGATGGATATTCAAGAGCATTTGTTATTTGCTGGATTCAGGAAGGGAGATATATAGTCTTTGTCCATAAAATTAAAAACATACCCCTAAGACTCCAGTTAAATAAACAATGAATGCGACAAAGCCTTTCTTTCTGTAGTTAAACCAATCAAATAAAAACACACATATGATTCCTATTGCTTCAGAACAGAGGCGTAACTAGAAACCACTTGCCCCCCGGTGCAAAAATTGTCCCAGGTCCCCCCACATGTTTCATTACCCTCCCCCGCTCCTCCATGTGTCTCATTTCCCTCCAGTTCCTCCCTATGTCCCACCCCCCATATGTCTTATTCCCTCCCCCCAGCCTCTTCATGTGTCTTCGTCCCTCCCCCGAGCACCTGCATGAGTCTCATTCTCTCCCCCTCAGCTTCTTCATGTGTCTCATTTCCCCACCCTCCATACGTCTCATTCCCTCTCACCCCCATCCAGCCCTCATTAACCCCACTCACTCCCCATCCAGCCCTCGTGAACCTGCCCTCACTCCATCTCTCACCCTCTGAGACTTCAAGTGCCAGAGATCGCGAGACAATTTCCACATGGTGTGACTGCAGCTCTGCCACCGGACCACCAGGGTACAGGGAAGAAGAGGAGACCACTGGATCACCAGAGAGTGGGACTACACAAAACAGGTAATGTAATGGCTGGCCACACTTTCACTCTAACTTCCCCCCACTCACTGTCACCCTCACTGTCCCCCTTACCTCCCCCCACTCACTGCCACCCTCACCTCCCCCCACTCACTGCCACCCACACCTCCCCCACTCATTGCCACACTCACCTCCCCCACTCACTGCCACCACCATCTCCCACAACTCACTGCCACCTCACCTCCCCCACTCATTGCCACACTCACCTTCCCCTACTCACTGCCACCCTCATCTCCCCACTCACTGTCACCTACACCTCCCCACTGACTGCCACCCTCACCTCCCCCACTCACTGCCACCCTCACCTCCCCCAGCTCCCTGCCACCCTCACCTTCTCCCACTCACTGCCACCCACACACCCCCAAAACACTGTCACCCTCCCTCACCCCAATACACAAAGTCACCCCCTTCACCGCATCCATCCCTCCTAATCCTATCACACTCATACTCCACCACTTTCACACTCACCACCCTTCACCTTGTCACACTCAACCTGTCATATTAACCCTTCAATCCTGTCACACTCCCCTTGTCCTATCTGTAAGAATATTAAATAGTTAACTTGTTTATATGTATTTTATGCTTTTATAAGGTTTATAACATGATTATTGCTGACTGAAGGGATATTGAATACTTACATAATATGCTGACTGTGACAGACTAAGGTATTTCTTCTATAGGATGTAAGACAATGCTAAATTTCAGGATGTCTTGCCCATTCCGATTTTAAGGATATTCTTTTCCAGACGTATGCAAAAGCTTATCTTTCCATTGTCAGAATAACGTAATACAAGGAAGTAATAAATCTTATAGTCTGTACTGTATTTGCATATACCATGGCTAATGTAAGCAAACTATGTATAAAAGCCAGCTCTGGAATACACTCATTTGAGAGTCTTGTAAAGCTGTTGTCCGTGTGTTATTGCTTACAAATGATTCTCCATCAACGTTGATTATGGTGACCGAGGGATCGAGAACCGAGGGGATTAGAGTCCATTACAACATTAACCCTTTCAGCTTGGTGTCTAGAAGTGGGATAGAAGTTGGATCAGCAAAACCATTTGCGGTGAGTAGCCTTTTTGTGTCTTATTTGACGCTGATTGTCTATGACCCCCCTTTGGTTCAGTAAGACTGTATCCAGTAGATAGGAAAGGTGTAAGGACTCTAGTTATATTGAGACTATAAGAGGTCTCCGGTTTATTAGACATTTGGTCTAAATATATATAGGGGTTCTTGGTAACCCAGGTTAGTATCTAAGATAGATACAGGTTTTTGAGACCATAAGAGGTCTCCGGTTTATTATAGGGTTTTGGTAACCCAGGTTAGTATCTAAGATAGATACAGGGTATCTCAGGTAGATACAGGTTTTTGAGACCATAAGAGTCTCCGGTTTATTAAGTCTATAGGTGTTCTGAGTAGCACGGTTTGTAGATCTATAAGTATAACCCAAACTTCTCTTTCTCCCGGTCACCTTTGTTTGTCTTAAGTGTTTTTTTGTGGGTGATTGTTTGTCTATATTGGGGACACACTTTGGTAAGTTAGTAGTGTCCCCACTCTGAGTCAGCAGTATGGGAAATGTGAGTTCATGTCCTGAGTGACCAATATATGTATGTATATGTGTGTGTATGTATATATGTGTATATGTATGTATATATGTGTGTGTATATGTATATGTGTATATATAAGATAGCAGTACTTTTAAACAAATTGAGGTTTTAAAAATACATAAGGATTAAGGAGAGAACGCAGGTAACTTGTTTTTCTTTGGTTTTTACCATATATTGGGGCTGATGTGTACTGTAGTCCTTGCTGCTGCCCAGTAGTGATGGGAGTGAGCGCAGGACTTATCTTTCTGCAAGATAGCAGTACTGTATATTAGAAAAGAAATGACTCACAGGTTGTACCTGATAGACCTACTTAAATCTTTTTGCTTTATTCTTTCTGTCGCATAGAAGTATAAGTTTATTACTCTGTTTTATTGTAAGTTATTTCACATGGGAACTGTGTGCCTGGAATGATTGTTGCTTTAAAAATACTATAAGCCCACTACACTTATTATGAGAGTGGGATAGTGTAAATGTGTTGCATTGTTTGCATGATGAGCTCAGTATATTTTATAACTGAGACAAAAAGTCACTTCATTAGTATTTGAAAGTTAATTCCCCATATGGGATTAATTGTATAGAAACACCAATCAGCACATCTTCCCTGCCCTGTGTGTTTGTTGCAAAGGATCCATACTGTAAATATAATTTTTGTTTGAAAATAACAGAGCAACATTTACATTTTCAGCGGTCCAACACATGCTTTATTTTGCACTGTAAACTAACCTTTTTATTGCAACAGGTTCCTTTTAAATGATCCAGTGTAATAACTACTGCTTGTGTCTTCTATGTCTCACATTATGTGTTATTTTAAATTGTGGTATATAGCCTGAATCAGAAATCATGGACAAAGGTTTTTTACCTGTGTTACTAAGGGCTCTTGGAGACTGACCGGTCTAAAGGTTTGCCATGCCTTTAAAACATGGTATAGTATAATTTTTTTTAAGTCTCTGAGAGTTCTGAAAGATTCAGGTGAAACCATGTCTGTGTAATCTGGTCCAGATGTTTGTTCAATTTCTATAGGATTTAAGTTGATGCAGCATCATCTCAGATTAGTTAATGGTAGTTTTATACAAATAGTTGAGTTATGAGCGCGCTATATAAATGGATCCTTTCTTTAAATATAATACTATAGTAGATTAAAGTAATGAAGTTAATTAAGAAAATGTACACATAAGAATCCCTAAAATAAATCTAAACTAAAATTGGTATACCTTCCAATAATATGTTCTGAATACAGCTGTTAACTGTTTATTCTGTGTAAATGGTGATTGTGATAATGTGTGATAAGTGTGCAGTTTAACTTGAAAGTGGTTTAATTTATGTTGCTGTATTGTTTTAAATTATATGTGAATCAGTTTGTCACAGTCTAGTGATACTGATAAGAATGACAGCCAAATAACCTAGCAAATAACTGTTTTATTAGTTGTTGAATACTAGCGTTTTGGCCAAGAATAGTTGGAGATTTGGAGGTGTTAGTTTAAGATTGCTTTTATATTGTGTCTATCCGTGTTTCCTAGGAGGGAGACAGAGTGTGTAGTTGTGTGCCCATAAATGTGATTTCTGTATTGGCATATCTGCTGGGTACCCATTATGTGTTTCTACAAAGATATTGTTTTATGAGATGACTAATATTACATTGGATGCTGAGTATGAGTTATATGGTTTGAAATGAATTGGTGATTATGAGCTTAGTACTTCAGTAAGATGTGCTAAAATCTGGAACAAGGTGGAAGCTGAAATGTTGGGATTATGGAAGAATAAGCAGTCTATTTTCACTGCTTTGGCATATAAGCAAGATGCAAAGGAAGAGATTGGTAATATGATTTTTGTAAAGAAATTTTACAAGTATTGGAAGGATGAGGCAGGTTTGATGTCTGGAGATGATATAGATCTTTTTAAAATACAGTCATACCTTGGTAATATGTTGCCACAGTATTCTTTGCTTGTGAAACAATTGATTTCAGACTGGGCCAATTTGGATAGCTCAGATTTTCTTACCAAGGTTATAGAAAAGGAAAATGCAGGTTGTTTTGAATTAAGAAAAGATTTAGGAAAGTAAGGTTGCTTATTATGCTCAGGGATTGCAACATATTATGTCCAGCTACACAGGCTGAGAGCGAGGATGGGATGGAGCACATAAAGCCCGTGGAAGGGGTGGTCAAAGAGGGGCAAGGGGATGGAGACAGGGAAATCAGGGTTATAGGGGCAGGGGTAACCAAGGAGGAATAGACAGGAACACTTGTTTCAACTGTGGCCAATATGGCCACTGGAGGAATGAGTGTCCACACCCCAGGAAACCCCACACACCCCAACAACCCCACCATTCTCAAAATATGCCCGGTAGGCAAGAACAACACCAGACCCACTCCCAACACCACTGGCCAGCATATCGCTTAGTTCAGGACTTTAGAGCCCTGAATAGTTTAATTGTGCCCATTTCACCCATTGTCCCTGATGTGACATCCCTCATTACAGCCATTCCACATGATGCCACTTGCTTCACTGTCATTGATTTAAGTAATGCATTTTTTCTATACCTATTGATCAAGAGACACAGCTACTTATGGTTTTTATTTTTTGAAGGCTGTCAGTTTACCTGGACACGCTTACCCAAGGCTATGTGGATTCCCCAGCTGTTTATTCGTTGGTACTCCAACATACTCTAAACAACATGGACCACCGGTCATGGTTCCGTCCTTTTTGCAAAATGTTGATGATTTGTTGTTATGTAGCCCTAGCTATGAGGCAAGCACTGTGGATACTGTCAGCAACTGTAGGTCACAAGGTTGTTAAACACAAAATGCAATTGTGTAAATCAAAGGTTGAATACTTAGGTTTTGTTCTGGCTTTAGGCACCAGACAATTGAGTCCAAAATGTATTGAGGTCATTCAGAGGATTCCAACACCCACTACTCGGAAGGAGTTGCTCACCTTCCTCGGCATGATTAATTACTGCCACCAATGGATCCCTGAATGCTCCCATTATGACTCAATCCTAAGGGAGGCTGTACGTTCTGACAGCCCTGAAAATGTCTGCTGGTCACCAGACATGCTAGCTGCATATATTGCCCTTACAGTTGTTATTGTGCAAGCCCAGGCTTTAGGACTACCTGTGTATTGTAAACCATTTCATTTGTATGCTTGGGACAATTGTAAAACCATGGCCGCGGTCTGTGCACAAGAGCAAGGAGGCGGTATGTGTCCCATAGCATTCTTTTCCAAAGTAGTTCGAGCTCCGGTAAAGGGTATGCCGGCGTGTCTCAGAGCATTGATAGCATGTGCAATGGCTGTTGAAACTGCTACTACTATCACACTAGGGCATCATACAATACTTCATGCCAGTCACCAGGTCACTCAGCTGACAAATCTCACCACACAACACATGACAGCCCAGCGCTTCAGTGGTTATGAGATTCTTTTTTTAATACCCAGAATCTGTTTTTGGATTAAATAAGGTTTAGAGAAAGATCAGAATGATCTGTTCTCTAAAGAGGGGAGAATAGGCATACTTGAAGAATAGGCATACTTGAAGCAAGCTGATTTATTTTCATCAGTCAGGCACATAGCAAGCACCATTCAATTCCTCATGAATTCATTTTATATTAGGAATCTCAGGCAGCATGTACAGTCTTTTGTAAGATCGTGTGAACGCTGCTCTTTTTACACACTTACAGATTGATTTTATTCATGTATCCAAAATTGGTAAGAAACAGCAATACTTACTGGTCATAGTTAATCAGTTTAGTAGATGGCATGAGGCCTTTGTGACATCTAGGGAAGATGCTAGTGAAGTTTATTGTTACTGAAATTATTCCCAGGTATGGCTGCCCTCTGCAGATTGGCTCTGATAATGGCCCGGTTTTTGCCAGTAGGGTTGCCCAGGAACTTGCTAAATTCTTGCAAGTTACCTGGCAGTTTCATATACCCTATCATCCACAGAATACAGGGGTAGTTGAAAGGATGAATAGGACTATTAAGGAAAAGCCCAGAATTTACCCAGGAACATGGGTAAATTGGACTAGATATCTACCAGCTATTTTAGCTGAGATAAGAGTGATTCCTCACAAGGTGACTAAATTATCTCCATCTGAGATTTTTGATGGGATGACCTTTTCCCACACCCTGGGCCAGGGAACCGCTTGTTATAATGTCTGGGGATTTACAGCTAATACAAGAACAATATGTACAGGAATTGTTGATAAAACCGAATGGTATGTATGACAATGTTTCTTCGCAGTTTTCCCTTACCTTCACAGGAACCTACTCATTCATACCAGCCCGGTGACAAGGTGTATATCCGTCAGCTGAACAGGACCAAGAAAGGAGGATACCCTTTTGGACCACCTGCTACTGTGATTGCTGTACCCAGAACCGCTGTCCTCACAGATTCCCACGACATCTGGATTCACGCATCCCGAGTGAAGCTGTGTCCAAAGAGGGGAACCAAGGAAGACAACACCACTCCTCGCTCGGAAACAGAAGAATTTCTCCTCAGCGAAGCATCATGGCTTTTACACCATATCGTAGATTGAGAGGATCATACGTACCTGAGACCAAGATTATGTTGTGTGCTATGCTTTCTGGAGTTGTTATACTCCCTCTGATATTGTTCCTTGAATGCCATTATGAGTACAAGTCAATGGCAAGTTCTGGAAAAAGACTCTGACATGATGAACAATTCTTCAATACCCCCAGCCCAATTAGGCCTTAGCTCCTCATCTAGCATTCGTCACACACACCCCCTCAAGAACCTTTCTCCACCACCTTTCTATCAGCATGTAATATGCAATCATTCATTGACTGAACGCATTTGGATGAATTGGACAAATAGTAACCCTTATAAGTACCAGTTACCCATATGGAATGTGTCCACAGCTAATGAAACCGATGCATTATGTTTGTTTGAAGGTTCACAGAAAATTGTTAGATCTTATAACGCAGAAATGTGCACAGTTAAGGTTGCATATCAATGTAAACAGACAGGCCTTATTACTTTTAATAATGATTATATAACTGGTATCATTAATTGGAGAAGGGGACAAATGTTAGTCATTATGAACGACACTACAATTGAGAACTATACACTACCTTATATTTTTACACCTTATTACTGTCCTTTATCCTCTACCATAGAACCAAAAGTCAACAACGACACACACACACCTATTCCGTCCACATGTATTAATACAACTGCCTTCTTACAAGCTGTACATGTGTCATTAAAAGTCACTACTCTTGTTGTAACATTATGTAATACAACAAACAAAGGCAGAAAAGGGAATGGTATGACACACTGTTAGGAGGTGCTGGAACCACTATGGGTATACTAAATAGTTATAGATATGGAGACCCTCAAGAATAAGTTAAACACAGCCAGCATGCATATAGGGACTGGTTTCCATGCTACTGCAAACTGGGCTCCAATTGTTGTTAAATCACAGGTTATAGGATTGGATTTAGATAAATCAATGTATAATTATTTAGATAATTTAACTGTTGCAACTATGAAATTCACTACAGGTCTAAGTAACTGGAGTACTTGTGCCATCAGGTATTTATGGATACAACAACAAGGATTGGCATTAGAAAACACACTAATGATTTCTAAACTAGAGAAGATTAGAGGAATGTGTAACCTCACAGATAATGAATGGTTACTTCTAAAACCCCAATCCAGTAAATGCAATGGATGGTTAACTGGTAATGTTTCACATTTTTCATGCTCTTGCTATTTTACATTATATCATACATCATCAAAGGATATTAAATTAGCTTGTCAATTTAACACATTGCCAGTACCAGTTTATGATCTTTTTGCCAAGAATTTAACCTGGTGGGCACCCACATACACAGGGGACTATATTTTCCCCAAAGATAACACACACAGGTAGCCACACATATCCTAAAAGGAGAACTCCTTAAGGTGAGTTCACAAATTCAGAATGATTTAGCCCATCATTGGTACGATGCTTTACTGGTTGGTCCCCTACTGGATCCCAGATAATGAAATCATTCTTCTATCCTTTTGTTATTATAGTCCTGATTTTATTGTGTATGATTTTATATAACTGTCACCTTACTTGTACATTGAGGAAGAGAGTACAGAAATGAATCCATAATGCAGAACAGAAACAATTAGAAATTCTCCTCTCTGCCACTGGAGGGTATCAACCCATTTTTAAACTAGGCCTTAGGAATTACCACATGGGAATCGAGGTGAAGAAATTAATGAAAGTCCTGCAGGGAGTGACTAGCACCCCTGAAAATACCATGTGGAAGTTTCTCTGTCCTGGTAAGATTTTATCGATAAGATGAGCAATTGTTTTATTGCTCAAAGAGGGGAATGTAAGAATATTAAATAGTTAACTTGTTTATATGTATTTTATGCTTTTATAAGGTTTATAACATGATTATTGCTGACTGAAGGAATATTGAATACTTAAACTCAATATACGACATAATGCTGACTGTGACAGACTAAGGTATTTCTTCTATAGGATGTAAGACAATGCTAAATTTCAGGATGTCTTGCCCATTCCGATTTCAGGATATTATTTTTCAGACGTATGCAAAAGCTTATCTTTCCATTGTCAGAATAACGTAATATAAGGAAGTAATAAATCTTATAGTCTGTACTGTATTTGCATATACCATGGCTAATGTAAGCAAACTATGTATAAAAGCCAGCTCTGGAATACACTCATTTGAGAGTCTTGTAAAGCTGTTGTCCGTGTGTTATTGCTTACAAATGATTCTCCATCAACGTTGATTATGGTGACCGAGGGATCGAGAACCGAGGGGATTAGAGTCCATTACAACATTAACCCTTTCAGTCGGGAAGAATGGTGATTGTGCCCTCGGTTCGGGTGGGTGGAACCGTGTTGTGGCGGAGCCTCGATAGCCCCGGAACTGAGTCCGGGAGGGGCGGCCGGACAGACGGCCCCGCTGTCTACCAGCCCCCCCGAAAACCTTTTGCGAGAACACTCGCTTCATATTATGTTGTGCCTTATCTAGTGCCGTAAATGTGTTTACGTAATTACCCAGGGTCTTAACAAAATTGTCTCCGAATAAGAGACCTTTTGCCTGTGTGCCAGGCTCGGAGATTGCCAAATGCACTAGTTTTGGCTCGATTTTCATCAATATGGCTTTACGCCGTTCCGTGGCCAAAGCGGTGTTGGCATTTCCTATTAGGCATATGCCTCTCTGAATCCAGCCTCTGATGGCCATCAAGTCAATTGGGGTCCCCCCAGTAAGGGCCGCTTCGACCATATCGAAGATTTTAGCTATAGGCCCGAGTATGTCCAGGATCTTGTCCTGGCAGTGTTTTAAGGAGTAGTCCAAACCCTTCTTGGCCCTCCATCCTGACTTACCCAGGAACTGGGCGACCTTGGGATCCACTTCAGGGGTCACGCAGGCCATGTCTGGGACAGTGGGCCTTGGGCATTCCGCCCTCAGTTTGCTTCTTGTGGCCTTGTCGAGGGGTTTTCTGACCCTAGTCGCAATATAAATGGCCACATGAGTTGTGGGGTACCACTCCGCTGAACGCGGATTATGCAAGGTGTCGGGATCAAAAAGGGGTTCCCCTTGGGGGTCTAACACTGCGGACTCATCCGTCTCGCGCTCCGCGTCTAACGCTGGAGGCGCAGTGTCGTTGCGTTCGGGGGACGAATTGTCTGAATTAATTGGGTCGATGTCATCGGACCCATCTGATACCTCCTCTGAGTCCGAATCGGAGTCGGACGGATCAGATAGGGCTTTTGCCCTCTTCCAAGTCCGCACCGTTTTTGCCCGGCGGGGGGCTCTTTTACGTGGGAGCACCACGTCATCAATCTCAACAGGGCGCAACCTGTCCGTCTTACTGGTTCTGGAGGTAGCACCTGACAGATGGTGCGATTTGCATGTAGCCTTGCGGCCGCTAGGGACCATTGGCTTGCTATCAGTGGATATAGGGGGTGCCGAGCCCGGGTTGTGACTGGATGCCCTAATAGCAGAGGAGATAGAGTGGGACAGGGTGTCCGACATCGCCCCCATGGCGGTAAAAATGGCCTGTGTAACAGACCTACTCATCGTGGCATCCAGGAGCACCTGGAACTCCTCTGAGTTCACGTGCTCCTGGGATGCGTCCCCAACTCCCCCAGTGACAGCAGCGTCTGTAGACAGGGCTGTCTTATCACGTTTGCTGGGTTTAGTAGAGGTGGGAGGGGGGGTAACTGTCTGTTTATCAGCAGGGGATTGCATAGTGATCAGGAATGTGCACAGTAACAATAGAGGGAGAAAGGCACTGAAATAAAACTGTCACTATTGGACAAAATGCACACTGGCAGCACTGCAGAGGTTAATATACCAGCAGTATAGGGCAAGTGGCTGAGCACTAGACTAAAAGTAAAGGCAGGCACAGTTATACAAGGCACAAGTATTTTGGCACATATAATATGGCAGCTTACCGAGTGTTCCCTCAGGAATGACTCCTGGGGGACACTGGTAAGCTGCCCAACACTTCCCTCACCCAATCAGCTTGCGCCCCTCCCTGTCAGAGTGGCGCGGACCGCGGGCGAAAAGAGCGGCAAAAATTGCCCTCAGTTAAGATGGCCGCCGCGATGCGCGAGTGTGGACCGCGCATGCGCGAGCGGCGGAAACGGCCGCCAAAGTAACAGCCGCCCGTCCGGCGGCGAAACGGCTCGTTCTGGGCCGGGGGGGTGGGGAGGGGATGCCTGAGCGACCCCCACCCGGGGAAGTGGAAGGAGGGACGGGTTATAAACAACCCGAAAACGGCAGTGCAGGATGGGGTTTGCCTCAGGGAGGAGGCAAGCACCCTGCACTGGGAACAGGAGTAAAACAAAACATCAGTAAAATACACAAAAAAAATTAAATAATAGACAAACAAAACAGCAGATATATATAAAAAAAAAGGAACAGTATAAAAAATAAAAAATAATAATATGAATCAGGAGAAACTGAACAACACAATATTTGAGGAGCTGAAAAATATGTGGTACTTAGCTGAGGCAGCAGCAAAGAAAGAGGAAGTAGTTTACCTCACATGAAGGGATATAGTACAAGGACTGATCCTATTGGTTAATGGATATGGAATGTTATATGGTTAACCCTTAAGGGTATTTGTTTTTCTTTTTGTTATTGCTATATTAAAAAATATCAATATCCTTTCTTTGCTGCTGAGGAATAAAGAAAGAGATAAAGCCTAATAAGAGCCTCCGTGTCCTTTAATAAAATCACAGTTACACACTCACACACACAATCGAAGACAGTGACAATCACAGTTACACACAGCACACTCTCTCTCACTTACAGTAAGCTTGGGCTGGAGGAGGAGTGGATTCAG